AGAAACAAACTCATCTACATCTTGGATGGCCTAAGGGTGAGTAAACTTTTTGCAAATTTTCTTTTTTGGGTGAACTATTCCTTTAATACTCCAGATCAGAGTCCATTTAAACCCCAATATAATCCTTTCTGTTTCTACTTTAAAAGTTATTATTACTGTCTTCGACATGGCGGATATCAAGAGCTTGGAACACACACAGTAAGTAAAACCTATAGTAGTGTTTTGAAGATTGAAAAGGTGTTGAGGAATTTTAATTTTAATGATTTTTTGTTTGTTCCTCAGACAGTGGTTATCAGAGGCACTGCGGGAAAATGAACCAGACTCTTGTTTTGTTTTCTTGGTTGGCACAAAAAGAGACCTCCTGGTGAGAAAAGCCCCCACAGACAAGCACACATATGTACACATACAACTTGTTAAAGCTATTAAAGACTCCTGCTGTCCTTATGTGAAGTCTGCAGAAGAGTGCCAGAGAACAGAGAGCGATGCCATAAAGATTGCAGCAGAAATGAACGCTGAGTTTTGGTCGTTGTCCTCAAAAACAGGTACATTCTGAAGGGATAAGAATATAAATGTACTTTATAGTTGTTGCTATGTCCATTACAAGAAGTACAAGATGGATGCTACTTATAACTGTTACTGCTATGGGTTTAAAGGGGAGAATGTCCAGGAGTTTTTCTTTCGCGTGGCAGCTCTGGCCTTTGAAGATGCCATAATGAAGGACCTGGAGACAGGAAGCAGCACGGCTCAGATTGGAGATGGAAATATTCTCGGTAAGAGATTGCACTCTGAAATCATAAAACAGAGATGTTCACTGACATAAATTGTGTGTTTTATGGAGTAAAATAATGTGGGTTTGTTATTTCAGATGATAACGCACTGGAAGATGCACAGGAAAAGCCAAAGAAGAAGTCCTGTTGTTGACCCTCAATGGTTCAAGAAGAAGAAATAACCAATTTGTATTACAGGACAGAATAAATGTTTAACCTAGTAGAAAACAAAGTCTTTTGGTTGACATAACCAACCTCTGAGTTGGTGCATCACTAATGTACTCTCTGAGAGGGACCACCTTATCAGAACACATAAAAATAAGGGACTGACATCAAATATGATTTCAAACATTTGACTTATACTGTAGTATTAACGTCAGTATTTTTGCTGCATAAACTGCCATTTAATAATTGCATTGTGTTTTTCCTTTTCCTTTTGTATTTTTTTATCTTCCTTTGGCAGATGAAATAAACATACATTACAATTGAGCACAGCTTAT